TCCTTCGCCTGGGCTGTGGTGCTGTGCTTGGTGCTTTGATCCGAGTGATGGTGAAATTTCGTGTGGCTACTGGGACATTAATGGGTAATACAAATAACTAATTGATATATATATATATATATGTGACATAATAAATAAATAAATAAATAAATATATATATATGTGATAATATATATATATGGTAAATGACATAATATCTGCAAAATTTACTTTAAATTCAAAACGGTTTCCTCAAAACGGATTTCAGCCCTCGTCCCATTTCTTTCTCGACCGCAAGCCATTCGCACTAGTCCTCTGCCTCCTTTTGGGTTGAACTTTTTTGAATTATCTTTGTCGTCGTTGCAGCAACGCTCTGGGCTCCAGAGGCTTGGGGATGCTGAAAAAACTTTTCAGGGCCTAAAAAGTTTTTTCCTGTTTCCGAGATGCCTCTTTTACAAGGGTCTCGATTCCCCCCAAATTCGACCCGCTACACCTCAAGCTTTAGCAATTTTAGAATCTAGTCGCGCTACCTGGGAAAGGTGAATAATAACTATTGACCAAAATTTCAGGGTTCCCTAGGGTTCTTATTTCAATTAGCTGGTAGACAGAGTTGAATCCAGCAATCCAGCCCCTGAGGTTCTTAATGCAGTGGGTTCTTAAACAATGGTTTCACTGTAGAACAAATACGGAAGTCCTGGAACAACGGGGCATGCCACCACAGGGCACTGACTGAAATTACGATAAAAAAAACCTTTCGGGCTCCAGAAAGTTTTTTTTCACGGGGTCTGAATGCACCCTTAATTTTCTATTTTTTCACTCTGATGGGAACAAAAAAACTTTCCGGAGCCCGAAAAGTTTTTTTCACTCGTTGCACATGCTTTGAAAGCAATTTCTGCCCACCTCGTTTTCTGAATTTAATTAATTCACCTCGCTTAAATTGCAAAGATTCACCTCGTACCTCGTCAGCCCTCGCTCTAAATTATGCAGATAATATGTATATATATATATATATTGGTTCGGGCACCTGCCTCTATCTGTGTTATGGCACACGTCCAATGTTGTCCTCGATGTTGTAAGTTGTGAATTTCTCGTTTTTTTTTTCCACGTAAATTTTGATGTTTTAAATTTGGCGTTTTTTTTTTCTCATGTAAATTTTGATGTTGTAAATTTGGTGTTTTTTTTCTCACGTAAATTTTGATGTTTTTAATTTGGCGTTTTTTTTTCTCACGTAAATTTTGATGTTGTAAATTTGGCGTTTTTTTTTCTCACGTAAATTTTGATGTTGTAAATTTGGCGTTTTTTTCTCACGTAAATGTTCATGTTGTAAATTTGGCGTTTTTTTTCTCACGTAAATTTTGATGTTGTAAATTTGGCGTTTTTTTTTTCGCACGCAAATTTTGATGTTGTAAATTTGGCGTTTTTGTTTTCCTCACGCAAATTTTGATGTTGTAAATTTGGCGTTTTTTCTCATGTAAATATTGATATTGTAAATTTGGCATATTTTTCTCACGATTTCTCACGTAAATTTTGATGTTGTAAATTTGGTGTTTTTTTTCCTCACGTAAATTTTGTTGTAAATTTGGTGTTTTTTTTCCCGACGTAAATTTTGATGCTGTAAATTTGGCATTTTTGATTCATTATGATTATGAAGTTTTGATTCATTATTCTGATAAGTGATAAGTTAAGTTAAAGTATCTGTTTTTGTCAGCCCACCAGTTGAAAGGTTATTAAGTTATCAGTAAGTTATCCATGTCAATGATGATAAAATTACATGTTTAAACATTAAGTTCAAGCTAAGTTCAAAAAATATAGAAAAATACTTTTAAAAACATGGTAAATTTCCGGTACATCCGAACGGTTCAGAACGGTTCAGGCGTATCAGTTTCTGATACATCCGAACGGTTCAGAACGGTTCAGGCGTCTCCGAACTATCCCGAACCATTCCGAACTATTCCGAACTATTCCGAACTAATCCGAACTCAGGCCTCCGATACATCCGAACGGTTCAGAACGGTTCAAGCGTATCAGGTTTTTGCCTTAGATTCTAAGCTTAAAAGTGGGCAATTTTTACAGCATATTATCATTTAAGTTAACAAGTTGAAGATGCATGACTTGTAAGCAATTAAAGGTTTTAAGCTATGAGGTTTTAAGTTAGTTACAAATTATAAGAGGAAGAAAAGTTGTAAGACAAGTGATGTCAGTTGCAAGTTGTGAGTTGTAAATTGCCATAGGCCAAGGTACTTCAAGTAAAACTTCGGTGAAGAAAAACATGTCTGAAAGTAACTTAGGCTGTGACACAAGTCGTGGCAGAATGTTTTCCCAAAGAACGGGGCTGGAAGAAACTCAGGCTAAATTTCACAATCTTCTGACAAGTATATGTCACACCCAAACCCGTCTAAGGCAGGCAATCTTGTCACGTGAGCGGTCAGTGGCCCTCTGAGATCCATCCTGGGGGCAAGGATGGGGAAAACGGTGTGACACCTGAACCGTTCTGAACCGTTCGGATGCATTTCATATAGTTCGGAATAGTTCGGGATAGTTCGGGATAGTTCGGGATAGTTCGGGACTGTGTTTATATAAAGCTCTTGCCTCTATAATTTGCCCGTGTGTCATCACACATTTGCCCATTAGTTTACAGCACTAGTCACACAGTACTTCAGTGAGATCGAATTTTGCTTGGTTTCGGGGCGCGTAGAGTCGCGTTGCGTGCGTGCGTGCGTGGACGTGCGTGCGTGCGTGCATCCTGATCGGACCTGCCTTTCTCGCAGGTGAGTCTTGTCTTGTTACCTGCCGTTACCTACCAGTTTTACTTGCCACAGCCTACCAGGATCTACCAGGTTTAAGGAAACGAATTAGTTCATCATTTATTCAGCATTATGCATTATGCAACACTTACAAGCAGGAAGTGACGATGTGACAACGCAACCATGTAGCAATGTGTGACAGTGACCCACAAGCACGGTTATCACCAAGAACGGAGCAACGAGAACAAGAACAGGAAAGCGAAGAAAAAGAAGAAGAGCAACAACAACAATAACAACAACAACAACAACAACAACAACAACCACCGACGACGACGACGACGAAGACGGCATAACCAACAAATGAAGGGCCAATGGAGGGACAAAAAGACAAGTTAAACACACCCACCAGCTTCAATGCCAGCTGAATTTCAAGAAACAAACAAAAACCAAAAACTGTAATCAGGAATCAGGAGTGTGACAATACAAAAAGAATTGACCCATCTCAACATCAAAAACATCATTGCAATAACGACATGAACAAAAATGGGCGCGCATAGTAAATCATGAATCATGACTCATGACGCATACATAAATCACAGGAAACAAAAAAATACAACTCACAATGTCAGTCATGACTTGAAGCAAGAAAAGTTCGGGGTTGATAACATCAATCATGACATGAACAAGACTAAAAGTGGCGTTTACAAGATCCAAATTTATGTAAGAAAAAAGAATTTGGCGTTTATACAGCGTCAAAATGTACGTTAGGAAAAAATGCGTTTACAACGTCAAAATTTGCGTAAGACAAAAAAATCGGCGTTTACAACGTCAAAATTTACGTAAGAGAAAAAAATCGGCGTTTACAACGTCAAAATTTACGTAAGACAAAAAAAATCGGGGTTTACAACGTCAAAATTTACGTAAGACAAAAAAAATCGGTGTTTACAACGTCAAAATTTACGTAAGACAAAAAAAATCGGCGTTTACAACGTCAAAATTTACGTAAGAGAAAAAAAATCGGCGTTTACAACGTCAAAATTTACGTAAGAACAAAAAAATCGGCGTTTACAACGTCAAAATTTACGTAAGAACAAAAAAATCGGCGTTTACAACGTCACCGACAACGTCAACCAGAACGGTACACGTCAGCCGCGACACAAAGGGGCAATTATAGAGGCAGGTGCCCGAACCAATATATATATATATATATCTATTATTACTCGCATAAACAGCAATATGATATGGGGATATCATGGAATACTGATGGGAACAATACTGGAAAACCTTAATCAATCTGGTAGGTTCCACTGTAGATCTTCCTGAAACCACTGCTAAGAAAGGACGTTCTGTTCAAAATTAAAGGACCGGATAACCCCACAAGTCAACTTCTTCCTAAAATGAGCTTCAATGGTTTCAGCGGGGACAGGGAAGGAAGGAAAGACAAAGGAGGTGGTGAAAGATCGTGTATGTATGTATGTATGTAGGTAGGTATGTATGCATGCATGCATGCATGTATGCATGTATGTATGCATCCGACGATGATGACATAGAGGAAAGGTACCTGGCCGCAGAAGTGTTGAACACGAATGTAGCTGGTTGTCAATGCAACTATGGAAGACACGACACAGTCACAGTCACAGGCAAACACGGGCGTCACGGGCGACCAAGCCAGTCCAAGCGCGCCACCCAGTGCCATGAGTGCCACGCCTGCCACGCGGATGTGAGGTTGTGCCACGCCTGCCACGCAAAACGACCCTGCCACGCAAAACGACGGTGGATGTGAGGTTGTGCCACGCCTGCCACGCAAAACGATGGTGGATGTGAGTTTTGTGCCACACGGGCGACCAAGCCAGTCCAAGCGCGCCACCCAGTGCCATGAGTGCCACGCCTGCCACGCGAAACGATGGTGGATGTGAGATTGTGCCACGCCTGCCAC